CTGTAGAGAATGAATGTTCAGTTATGTGGATTCCAATGTGACGCGGATAGATGGCGGTGAGCAGGCACCAAACGGCAGGCTGCCCTTTTAGTGTCTGTAATGGATCCCTGTTCTTCATTTTGATATAGAGCACAAATATGCTGGGAGGCAAATTAGAATCTAATTTTTTAACCAGCTAAAAATACTCCTCAAGTTAAAGGAAGAGAGTGAAATGTTCATACGGTGTGTAATTGAAAAAATGACAGCAATCATATTTGGCTTGAAGGAAAATCAGGGAAGAACAAAACATATAGACATATAAAAAACATACAGAAGGAGGCCTCTGGGTCCCGGGTTCAAGTCTCCGCCCTGTGTCTGAGTGTGTAATTTGCTTGTTTCCTTTAGGTTCTTTGGCTGCGCCCCACAGTTCAAAGACATGCTAAGGCTAATTGGAATTACCAAATTGCCTGTAGATATGACTGGTGTGTGTATATTGGTGCCCCATTCTGGGTTATTCCATGCCGTGTTCCTGTAGCTTCTAGGATAGGCTCCAGACCCCCACGACCCTGCATAGCAACCGCAGGTATAGAAAATTGGTGGATGGATAGATCTTTAGATATCAGCTACAGGGCCTCAGTTTTGGACTGTGCAGTGCTCCTCCAACAGTATGGGGGGGGGGCCTTCGGCGTCAGTGTGAGACGGGCCCCGGTCTGACGTACGAACGTGTGCCTTGAGATGGAGGGAGCACCTGTTCGTTTGATAGCGCTGCCTGAATGGCTGTCTTTTCTCCAGACAGCTCTTTTATCAACTCCACTGTTACATATTCAAAAAGCAGGGGAAAAAAATTCTGCCGAAGATCCACACCATAAGCCATCTTAGATGATGACGAAGGTGATGGTGATGAGATTATTATTATTATTATTATTATTATTATTATTATTATGCATGACTTCTGTGGGGCTTTTCATTAAAAAGCATATTTTTCTATCTCTCTATCATGGCCATTTTTATACAACAGATTCATAAGTTTACTTTCTTCAGTCGGCTGCTTTTTTTTTTTTGGAGTGAGGGTGGGGTCTGTGAAGGCCTCAAGGAGCCCTTTTTTGGCTCAGCTGTGACTTTTATTGGCAGACTGAGGATCTGCACCAAGCCTTAGCTCTGCTGGTTATACATCCCACTCCCTCCGGAGGAGGAGGAGAAGGAGAAGGAGGAGTGGAGCTGCTGGCGAGAGGCCAGTGAACCTGGGCAGGGAGGCTTGAAAGGGGCCTGGGGGAGGGGCAGCTGGAGCCTACTGGAGACTGATAATACAGATCTATTCTCCAGGCAGACAGAGACGCCGTGGTTGGGCCTCCCTAGGCTCTCTTCTAATATGATTACATTTGAAAAATGTAATCCACCTCTTTTTACTGGAAACGTCTACCTATTGTGTCATTTCTGCGTATGATTAGCATTCTGATTCTGTTTTTAAGCTACGTGTTATTTGCTGAAATGGAAATTCCAGTGCAGAGCAAATTTCACTTTATTCAGTGGCAGACAATTTCCTGCTACACCCCCCTCCCCCGGGAAAACAAAAAAACCCTCTGTGGTCATCGAGATGGATTTGTAAATATTTACTGCAGGCTGCGCACTTCAGATATATTGATAAAAACATTTCAGACCTTTGATAACAGCGCGTGCACATTAAGAACATGTGAATTGCCCTTTATGCTTCAGCAATGCTCAGTATGCTGAGTATTAACAGCCACACAAGGAAGGTCTGCAGGCTTCTCTGCACAGTCAGCAGAAAATAGCCCATCATGTATATTCTGCCAGTATAAATACTTATACAGCAAATCTACATTTAATTTCTTTTTTGCTCATTTGCATAATTAATGGCTAGGTTTAATATTATTTCTGAAAGAAAGATGCATATTCATTTGTGAGTTAATTCAAAGTAATCTAATGTATTAACTGAGCATACATTACTCGAATTATTAAGTGATGTATGCAATTATCCTTGCATCCGTCCTCCCATTCATCTTTTTTTACTTATTTTTACATGGGCTGTCTAATTCCATAGAAATAATATTTTAGTCAGCAAATATAGTTGCAAATGAAGTGTCTATAAACCAGTCAAAGGCACCTCTAGTTCAGACATTCTAACAAGGTGTTAATGGTTTAATTCAAGTAATTAGCATATTAGATGTCAAATTTCCATGAATTATTACTAAGGTCATAATGGGTTAGCAGGTACAATTCTCTTATAGACTCACTACATCAAGTATACTCTTATAGAATCTATCATACTGACTACGAAAAGTATATTCTTATACACTCTTATAGACCCTATACCAAGTACACCCCTATAGTCTCGTATAGACTCACTGTATCAAGTATACTCTCATACACTCTAATACTCACTATGATACTCTTATATACACTTACAATACTCTTACAGACTTTAATAAATTCAATTTATGAAGTTTACTCTTATTCACTCTAATCTAGATCTAGAATACTCTTATATACTCTAATAGACTCACTATATCAAGAATACTCTAATACACTCTAATAGACTCACTATATCAAAAATACTATTATATACTATAATAGATTCACTATACTACACATTCTATAGTCACACTAAATACTATTCATACTACATGGGAAGAGGAACTTGGGATGGAAATTTCTGACCAGACCTGGAATAGTGCATCAAGTAGAATCGATAACATCACTACCTGTGCAAGACTTAGTTTGATTCAGTTCAAAGTGCTCCAGCGTATTCACTATATCAAATCTAAGCTAGCCAAAATATATCTTAATGTTGATGAACGGTGTGAGCCAATTCACATATTTTGGACTTGTCCCAGTTTAAAGAAGTACTACTGGTCTGAAATATTCAAGACGTTATCAGAAGCACTTAATCTAGACATGCAACCCAATATTAAAATGGCTGTTTTTGTAGTTAGAACAGATGGGCTTTCAATTAACAAAAAGAAGAAAGATGCTTTTGCCTCTCTGCTGACAAGAAGACAGATTTTGTTAGACTTGGAGTGGGTATATCCGCCCAGGGCCTCAGAATGGCTTAGTGACCCATTACAATGTCTTATATTAGAAAAAATTTAATACTCTCTTAGAGGGTCTATTAATAAATTTATGCAAAATGGAACCCATTGCATTCCATCCGACTAATCTCCAAATGGTCCTATATATACTGTATATATATATATATATATATATATATATATTCCCCCTTTGTTAGCAGCAAATTGGGTGGGTAGAGGAATTTCTTTATAAAAAACAGAAAATGTCTTGCATTTTGGATGTTTGCACTGTATGTAGGCATTCTTATTCCTCTCAATAAAAATATTGTCAAAAAAAGAAATACTGTCGTCATACTCAGACTTTCACGGATACGGGAGGGAATAGGACGTTATTCTCATGGATGATCAGCCTGGCACAGCTAAGCAGTGATAAGGAGGGACGGGTTAGCGATTAATACTGACACGATGAACAGGGCAGCTCAACCTTCCTGTCTGTACTGCTTCAGTGAATTTAGGAGACAGGGCAGGGTTCAGCTGTCCTATAAGGAGCGAGCGCATTTGCGTGAATGCCAAGGAGGAGCAGTCTGCAGCCCCTCCCACAGAAGCAGGGCTGGGGAAGGGGGGGGGGGGCTGACAGACATCTGGCTGTGTGGAGTGTGAGTGCACAGCAGGGGTGCAAAGGGCACTCGTGCCTGCATTCCCTTCCCTTTGGCCGAGGCGTGGGAGGGGGTCCCAGCCTCGTGTCAGGGACAGCTGGGGACAGGGGTGACTCGTTCGTGTGTGGAGTGCAGCGGGCATATTACCCTGTAGCCCCCCCAGAGGCTGGCCTGAGGAAGCTGTTGAGTAAATAAACAAACAAGCAAATAGTCTTTAGTCAAAATGCTAATTGGCAGGAGGTGGACTTATATCCAGCGGCGTCACTAGAGATTTTGGACCCCGTGAAAGCATATCATATTGGGACCAATCCAATCATGTTCCAAATCTTTAAGACCCCTGTTACTCAGGGGCCCTTAGAATTGTCCTAATCCCACCCCCTATACAGCGCCCTGGCTATATCTGAGGTATAAGCCCCCCCCCCAACCCCCGGTGACATTAATGCATGTCGCACAGCTGATTCCTGAGGGTTCACTCAATTATTTTCCCATCTTTGCTTCATCTTGCCCCTCTCAGAAATCATCCTCATCCACTGATTTTTTTTTCTTTTTCCTGTGCCTATTATTCTGCTGTTATCTGCTCCTCTACCTTTTGATACCCTGGCCCAGCTTTAAAATAAGGGGGGGGGGGGAGAGGATGGAAATGCTGATAAAGTGGGCTGCACACAGGAGAGAAAGCCCTCCGTTGGCATGCTGAATGCAAGCGGCCTGGCCTCAGGTCAACAGGGACGGTGGGACGGCATCTTGGGGCCAGACACGGCATCTTGGGGCTCGGGGCGGCAGTCCTCGCGCTCGGGGCGGCATTCCTCGCGCTCGGGGCGGCACTCCTCGCGCTCGGGGCGGCAGTCCTCGCTCTCGGGGCGGCAGTCCTCGCGCTTGGGTTCAGCCGCCAGGCTCACCGCCTCCTCCTGTTTCCCTCCCATAGCGACTGTACTATGATTAATGATCACAAGGAAATTCTCACATGGACGGGCTTATATCACATATTAATAAACAGACTGAAGGATTATAAATATTCTATGATCCCTGGCCATTAAAACAACACTGCATTTCTGTGTTCTCGTAATCGCTCTGGGATCTGTGAAACCGAGCTGTTTTCTAGAAGATTAAAGGGCCAGCTCTAACTTCGACCTACTGAAGGAACTCTCCAGAAAAAAAAAAGTGATTAACGAACAACGCATAGTATGATTCATCTCTGTGACCCTGCATTAGATTATCACTCGCAAGATTGGTATATGATTTTACGTGCTGTGCAGGCTTACACCACTGCAGTGTCCTCCGTTACGATCACTGTGTTTGTGTACATGTGATTTACACGGCTTTTAACGTGTCTTCCTTTCAGACCGTCCGTCACGGATTCCCACATCAGCCAACAGCTCTGGCCTTCGACCCCGTTCAGAAGATCATAGCCATCGGCTCTCGGACGGGAGGAGTGCGAATGTATCCTTTTTTCCGCCGCTTTCGGCCTCATATGCATGAGCGCCGCGGTTTGATTTGCACCTGAGTCTCCGGGGGAATCCGGCGTGTCTGAAGGACTTGCCCAGCCCCAGGTAAGAGTGTCATTCTGATATCCCCAGCTGCTCTCTTCCTCCCCCCGGAGGCTGCCATGACACGTTGTGCTTTTTTATCACACAGAAATAAAAACAAACACGCCGGTGATGCTGACTAACAAAGCTTCCAGCGTAAACCTGAATGGATGCAATGATTGCACATAAGCCATTTCTCAAACAGTGCTCGCACACAGGGACACACTCAGAGTGAGATAAAACCTTTAATATTTGTGAAAATAAATGGGTCAGTTTCTGAATAGATCCGAGCGCAGACGCGGGCAGCACACTGGATAGCAATTCTCATATCCTTAAGTAAAATTTTAATTAATTAATTTAAAAATGAATTTTTAATTCAGTGCTGCTATATATACGCACATTTTGACCTACATAGTCAAAGCCTGATTTTAAAATTTTTATTTATTTCATCATTAGGATATTTATAGCTCTGATGAGTCGAGTATGTGGAGTGCTGACCAGAATTTGGGGCTAATGTCCTTCGTGCTTTTGCTTCGTTTAAAATTCTTTGCAGTCAGCACTGGTAATGAATCCTGAGAAAAATGGATAGGGACTACATAGCTTGGACTCGTTTGAGAACTTTTCATGGCTTTCCTTTCATTAAGTGACTGCGCGCTGTTTGCATATGGAGGTTATTCTCTTCAACACAATCTTCTTATCTTCAGAAGAATACTACTCAAAGGTGGAACCTCCTCTCGTATTTTGTATGAGCCGATTGTCTTTTCTGTGGCCTGCGACTATAGCATATGCTGTGTTGAACACATGCCAGATACTTTTTTCTCATCTCAGGTGTGGCTAATCTTACATATATAGATCTGCCAAGCTGTTGATTAGTTCATATCTGTGAGCTGTATAAAAATGTAGAAGATGCCTGGGCCACTAGGTGGGGCCTTAGTCAAGAACAGAGGGTGCATTCAAAACCGTATACTTGCACAGTACATACTGAATTTTGTTAGATGCCTACTACTCAACTATTAATGAAGTGCATACTATACAGTAAGTATGCTTTAAAACAGTATGCATACCCTCAGACATACTGCAGTTGCTATCTTGCATATTACCTGACTCAAAAGTTTACCAGTGACATAGCTTGACCCCCACGGATGTTTAAAACTGTAAAAAAATTATAAAAGAAATAAAACAAAATCAAAATATGTATTTGAGTCTCCTAATGTAACTGGGCTGCGATGGGTTGGCATTCCATCCCAGGTTGTTCCCTGCCTTGTGCCCTTAGCTTCTGGAATAGGACCCCTGTAACCCTAAGACCACCGGGCACAGAACATGGACGGATCGATGGGTGGATGGATGGGTAATGTAACTGGGCATTATTTTCTCCTTCAACTTCTAGAGACGGCACTTACTCTGCCATCTTGACAAAAAATTCTGTGCAAGCGACATTCATTGCTGCTCTAGTGGCGTTGTGTGATAGTGGAGTGTCCACCGGTTGAACACTTCAGAATTTCGCAGAATATAGTATGTCATCTGGGCACCATTCACTTACTACAGGGTTTCTCAACCCAGTCTTCGCGAACCCCAAGATGGACCACATTTTCGCTCTCTCCCAATTGCCAGGGATTTGGGAGAGAGCAAAAACATGGACTGTCTGGGGTTCGCTGAGGACTGGGTTGAGAAATACTGGCTTAGTATCTCATTCATACTTAGGATTCGACATACTGCTCACCTTGCATACTGCATTTCACCTACTACGTACATAGCAAACAAGTATTTGATTTCAGATGCACACAGAAAGTGTGAAAATCGCTGCCTCGCCTGAGCCAGTGTTCACATGATACATCCATTCTCACAAACAGCTTATTATGTTGCGTTTTTGCTATAAACAGTTTTCATTGTGACAACAGGATGGGAAGAGTTGAACATGAGAATAAGAAGGTTTGGGATGGCAGAGCATGTACAATAAAAGTGCCTGAAATGAATGAAGGTGTAATTAGTTCAGACTAAATTTTTTCCTCTAACATGCAGGGTCCTCAAAGCTATGAGACGAAATGTGGATATAATATGCTTCATGATAAATTTATAAAGAATAAAAAGTGCTCAATTTGGGTGGTAAAGCTGTTCTCCTGACCTACATTGAACCGAATCACGAAAGCCTTTGTTTTCAGGATGATGTTTGCATGTCTATGTGTCATGTTACAAAAACAGTAAAAAATACTATATTAATTTGCTGAAATTTTATTTTGCCGAAGAACTTTTACGAGTTGGGAGGCCAGTCTTAAACTTTGAGTTTCCGTGTGTGGTTTAAACTGCTGTTTAAACCTTGTGTGCGCACCACAATGCTTTATTGGTGAGTTCACTATTTTGGGTCTTAGACGTGCAGATTTAATAAACAGCAAGTGTGTGTAGGTGTGGACACCATCTGTCTTGGAGAAGGGGTGAGTCAGGTGACCATCTGTGTTTCGTGTCACCTGTTCCTTATGACAGTTACCTGTCTTTCCATGGCTGTGTGACGCCCCGTCCCAGTTCACAGGCTCTGCATTGTGTGCTCTTCTCCATTTCCCACGGCATGTTTCCTGTGCCATCTTCCTCGTTGGCATGTTTCCTCTGCCATCTTCCTCATTGTCCCCTTCACCTACTTACAGCTCAGGTCGTTTCCCAGATTCCTCGTATCAGATGGGTCTGTCCTGAGCTGCGCAGGCATTCCCATTTAACCGATACGAACCTTTTTGTGTGCCGATCTTCAAATGAACCTCTCACGGTGCATCCTGAATCCGTAGCCAGGCCTCTCATCAAACAGACTTTTCTTTTCACTTCGTAAGATGCATCCATCAGTCGTATGACCTCATATCCAGCACGCGGTCACTGAGAGCTTACCCTAAAGCGCAGGGAATAACCTGGATGGGACACACATTCAACACAGGAACCAAATCCCTACTTATATTGCGCTGCAGGAGGTAACCTTCCCAGCCCAAGAGATCATGCAGTCATTACACATGTAGAGCGGGGGTTGAATTTGGGCCCCCGGCCCAGGAATCCTGAGCCAACTGTGCTACCCATAAAGCAACTGTGCCGGATCAGTCTGATGTATGAAATGATGTATGGTAATTATATTATATGGCTTTTGGCACATATAAAAACCATGTATCAAGTATTGGTCAATGCAGCTAGTGATAATTAAAATAAGAATATAAGCATAATTGCTTTGTAGAATGTGATTTGTTAATTATGCTGTGTGCTTGTTGGAAGTCTGGGCTCTGCATACACCGTGCAGGTATAGCTAGTTAATAAGGGTAAAGCCATGACACTCTGCGTTTTGAGATGATTTTTATAAATAAAATTCTGTCTGGTGGTGCTGATTGTGGAAAGTTCTGGAAACGGATTAGCTGGTTGGTATGTTGTATGCTGAGAGATCCGGAAATGCACTTGTGACAGTGCTGCAGGGGAGACACTAGGTGTTTTGGGCCCCATGAAAGCAGATCATACAGTATACTGTAGGGCCTCAGACCCAGAACAATCTAATTATATTCACTCTGTATGACTATATGTCACTCAGGGCCCCTTGGTGTCATTTTAATCCCCCCCCTCCTTTATGACGCCCCTGTGGTGCTGTATGTGGAGAGTTTCAGAAATGGATTCCCTGGTTGCAGTGCTATATGCGGAAAATTCTGGAAATGGATTCCCTGGTTGCAGTGCTGTATGCGGAGAGTTCTGGAAATGGATTCCCTTGTTGTAGTGCTTTGTGCGGAAAGTTCCGGAAATGGATTCCTGGTTGCAGTGCTATATGCGGAGAGTTCCGGAAATGGATTCCCTGGTTGCAGTGCTGTATGCGGAGAGTTCTGGAAATGGATTCCCTGGTTGCAGTGCTTTGTGCGGAAAGTTCCGGGAATTGATTCCCTGGTTGTAGATAGGCCCAAAAAAGGGAGCAGAGGTTCGTGAGAGTTCGTAAGTGGGGCGAGAGAATGGATCACATAAACGGTGTCCTTGAATCCAATTGATCAGGGGATGATGGCGTCTGACAGGGGCGGGGAAAATCTGTGGGGGCTTGGGTTAAACCCATATCATGTGGTAAGGTGAGGGGGGTTAAAATACAAGCTTCACTCCACTTTGTGCCATTATGTGACATTTAGCCTTTTTATTCCGGGTCGCTCTGAGGACCCTCCTTTGATCCTACCCCGCAGTCTGGCCCCACGTGCAGTCAGGGCCCCCCAGCGCCAGGCCGGGCCCCATACCTCTCTCACTCCTGTCAAGCAGCCGCAGCCTGACATTTCGAGCATTTCTGTGCAAGAGATTTACACGACTTATAGAGAGAGCGAAGCGGGGGGTTGGGGGCGGGGGGGGGGGGTTATAATTTTTCACACCGGGAGATGGGGAGGCTGGGCAGGTGAAGACCAAGCGGATGTAATCACTTGACTCGCGCATGAAGCTTTAGGAGGTGGTGAGTCTCCATCCTTCTCTGTCTCAGGCTCTGAATAAAAGGCAAAAATGGCCAGACTACCTCTCATTGATCACCCCCCCCCCCTCTGCATAAACACATTCCCCTCCCCAAATGCTTTCTCACCATCTCCCTCAAACTTCCCGCCTCTGACTGCCCCCGCCACCCCACATCTTGTCGCATTGCTCATGCATACTGGTCCCACCTATCGTGCCCCCCCCCGTTCCGGTCTCTCGCTTCTTCCCTTTCTCCCACTGCCCCCCCTCACTCCTGCCAAGCCCCGCTCCTGGCTATTAGCACGCGTGTCACGTGCGGGCTGTACTGCGGCTCTTCCCCCCCTCCCCAGCTCGCATCCCGCATCACGGTGCTGCTTCCGCACCTCTATTCTCTCGGCGGCTGGCTGCCGGCTCTCCGTGTCACAATTCCCTGTCCCTCTATTGTGTGACCCTGTTATAGCACCCTGCACAGAAAGTGGAATGGACATATAT